CCTCTAGGTCTACATGAAGTTAGTAAAAACCGCCTCTAGGACTACGTGAAATTAGTAAAAACCGCCTCGAGGCCTACGTGGAATTAGTAGAACCCGCCTCTAGGTCTACATGAAATTAGTAGAACCCACCTCTAGGACTACGTGGAATTAGTAGAACCCGCCTTTAGGACTACGTGGGAATTAGTAAAAACCGCCTCTAGGACTACGTGGAATTAGTAGAACCCACCTCTAGGACTACGTGGAATTAGTAGAACCCGCCTTTAGGACTACGTGGAATTAGTAGAACCCGCCTCTAGGACTACGTGGAATTAGTAGAACCCGCCTTTAGGACTACGTGGAATTAGTAAAAACCGCCTCTAGGACTACGTGGAATTAGCAAGACTCTCCTCTAGGGCTATTAGACATTATACATATATATATATATATATATACTGTATATACTTTGTAGTGGTGTAGAACACGCAGATGTGTAGTATATCACTTCCAGGTACTTCTATAACCCTCCTCTAGGCCTACTAGACATTATTTGTATATGCTTTGTAGTGATGTGGAACACGCACATGTGAGTTCATCACTTCCAGGTAGTTCCATATGGGACATGCATGACTTTTGAATATCCCTGACTTTATAACTTGACCTTAAGGTCAATTTTTTAACCTTAAACTATAAACCAGGTGTGAATAACTAACAATGAAAACGTGAAATTATTTTTGTCAAATCTTTTTAAAGTTATGGATTTGGTGGGTGTGGCACAATACTTAATTATAAAATGGAGTACTTGAGTTAAGTTATAGATTTGGTGGGTGTGGCACAATACTTAATTATAAAATGGAGTACTTGAGTTTCGAGCTCTCACCTTTTTCTTTGACCTATGTTGAACCGTGATATTAACCAGGTTTCTCTCCCCGGGAAGCTCACTAATCCACAGTTTCCAGATGATCAGGGAGTAAGCAGTAGCCATTATGGCAACAGGAAGAAAAAAAGGGTGACTGTCACAAAAGTGTAATAGAGTTGCTTGGATGGATAACGTGTCACACACTTCTTTAACAGCTGGTCGTACTCGGTTATCCGAGGCCAGTTCTCCCCGCAGTGGAATTCCAAGAAGTCTTTCCACTTTAAAATGAAATAATTAAATTTAAACAAACTTGTTTACAATAATTAAAGATACAAATGTTTTCTTTAAGTTGTCTAAAACTCTAAGTGACCAATATGCCCGTCTTGCTAATATGTTCATTGGCTGTCAGAGACCATGCTGCTGTGATATTGTCGTGGTGGGGTCAAATTAATTTGCTAGTGTGTCACCAGAGGGCCTGATAAATACTGTCATGTTGTCATCAGGTGACGCAATAGGTGTTGCTATATTATCACCAATAGACAATATAACTTTTTATGGTACCAGTAGGGGGCGTGCTACTTCATTATTGCGTCACTAGAGGGCTTATTGTGACTTGGATAATCAGCTAATCTAGTGTATATAATTAGATAAATGGTAGAATTAGAAGTAGTTGATATACATGTTAATCAGTTGAGATATTTTCATATTGCTTAAGTTTTAACATATCAAAGTGTTTGTCATATTTTTTTTGGCTCCCAGGTGGCTCAGCCGTAAATCAATGGGCTTATAACGCTAAAAACTGGGTTTCGATAACCGTGATGGGCACAGCACAAATAACCCATTGTGTGTGCTGTGTTTAACAACAACCAAATCAAACATTTATTGTTTTCCTGCTTGAATAATAACATTTTTATGTTTAATTGAATCTCCCGTCAATTCAGTGGAGATGAAGACCGTGTTTAATCTGACTTGTGTATCTGCTTTTTAGATGTGTTTCTTTATATTATTAATAACTGTATTAACGTAATCGTGATAAGATCATTACGTCATCAACATGATAAATTATCATTCGTCCTTAAAATCCTTCATTTTGTGAGTAACCATAGAGATCACTGCCCTAACCTAACTCTACAAACAATATCAACAAATCTTCACTTTTACAGTAGAAACAGTAAATACAATTTTGTTTTGACCTTGTCTAAATATTCTCTTTCAAAATATGATGTTATGGACCTTAATTTGTATAGGTTGAACAGTGTTGAATAACACAGTCATAAAAGTATACGTAACATCACTTAAGATTTCCAGGATTATTTACATGATGACAAATTGAATGTAAGTTAAAACAACCGTATTGCGCAAAGAAAGGGGCATAAGTCATTTTAGTTTGGATGTGTTATAATATATTTCTGTTAAATAGGAAATAATTACATAGATAATATATACTGTTTTAGTAGTAAATGCATACTTTGACTGACTCAATTTTATGTTTGTTAATTAAAACAAGAATATGCATGTATGATAATATTAATAAAATATGAATACACTTATAACAAATGTGACTGTTGAGAAACAGAGGAGAGCTCGCGCTAGCCAAGCTTTTTAACGTTACGGGCTGCGGATCGATACTTCTTAAAACATTCAACTGGGCTATAAGAGTGGCAGTTAATACCGTTATTTAACTCAAAGATCCGAACCAAGTTCTTCGACTGTGAGTACAGCTGGTTGATTAGTAGCTCAAAATTAGGGGAGGTCCTGATATGTTGCTCAGGTATGAAACATCATAACCAGTACGAGCTTAGTAATGAGTGTTTAAATAACATTAAATATAGAAGGTTAAACTTGACATTATTATAGTAGTAACACAGTAACGGTTACATTATTTCAGACGTCATGCAATAATGGTTAATTTGTTATAGACGTAATACAGTAACGGTTACATTATTGTAGACATAATACGGTAACGGTTACATTATTGTAGACGCAATACAGTAACGGATACATTATTATAGACACAATACAGTAACGGATACATTATTGTAGACATAATACAATAACGGTTACATTATTGTAGACATAATACAGTAACGGATACATTATTGTACACATAATACAGTAACGGTTACATTTGATTTACCGGGCTAACTTCTACGTAAAATTTGTATATATTTGATTTACCGGGCTAACTTATACGTAAAATTTGTATATATTTGATTTACTGGGCTAACTCCAACGTAAAGGTTGCATATATTTGATTTACCGGGCTAACTCCAACGTAAAATTTGTATATATTTGATTTACCGGGCTAACTTCTACGTACAATTTGTATATATTTGATTTATCGGGCTAACTCCAACGTAAAGGCTGTATATATTTGATTTACCGGGCTAACTTCTACGTAAAATTTGTATATATTTGATTTATCGGGCTAACTTCAACGTAAAATTTGTATATATTTGATTTACCGGGCTAACTCCAACGTAAAATTTGTATATATTTGATTTACCGCGCTAACTCCAACGTAAAATTTGTATATATTTAATTTACCGGGCTAACTCCAACGTA